GCCACTCTTAACCGCTACACCACATTCGCTCTTTGCACTACACCAGCCTATGTATGTCTCATGGTGCCTTATACTGAATCATATCATTAGTCCATTTATTGTCTAGTCTGATTGGCAGAGGCCCTCCAGAGTCTCACACAAAGAAAAGTCTCTCCCATTTAACTGAAGGAGTCAGGGATTAAACCCAGGAGTTTCTGCATGCAAAGCAGATGCTCTTCCACTAAACCACAAATGCAAGAAGAACTCATTCATTCATTTCCCCACAATTATACCCTGCCCTTCCCCAAAGGAGCTTAAACTGATTAGGTATTCTCATTTATTTTCCTTATATCAAACCTGTGAAAAAGGTTAGGCTGAGAGAGAATGTCTGGTCCAAAATTACCCATCGAGTTTAATGGTATAGGCAAAGATTTGAACCCAGGTCTCTCCAGTCCAGGTCCAGCACTCTAACCATTATACCTGTCAATAATTTGATGGTTTATAAGATAATGGTGTGTTTTAAACCAGCACAGTGCAGTGGTTAGAATGTCAGAGATTTGGGAGAACCAGGTTCAAATTCCCATTCTGCCATGGAAGACCACTGGGTGACTTCAGGCTAGCTACTGTCTCATCTTAGCCTACCTCACAGGGTTGTTGTTGTGGGGATTAAAACAGAGAAGGGGAGAATGGGTCCCCATTGCAGAAAAAAGTGGAGTATAAATAATTTTTGAAATGTGTTCAGAAAGGAAACCTGCCCAGCATTTCTAGTAATAGACTGGAGTCCATTTGAAACCTGTTTCCCTGTTGTTTTTCTTTCTGAAATAGGCTGCCTTGTATCAGTACGCCAAGCCCTTGCATCCTGCTGAGAACGAAGGAATGGCTACGGCAGAGCTGGCTCAGGTAGGTAGGAGGCCTTCCAAATATTATTTGGGGGGCTGCCTTTTGGGAGGGGGGGTCATTTGCCACTGCAGGTAGAAAGAGGGACTGTAGTAAGAACTGAGTAGGACACACAGCCTCCTTGGAACTCCTTAAGATACTGGCAGGATCTCTGGGTTCATCTTTGGCAACTTTATTTACAATTCATCTATAGTGCTCAGACAGGCATTTTATCTATGACAAGCTATGTTCAATCCCCAGTCCTTTGCAGAGGAAGGGAACAATGCAAGTATGAGAAGTCAATGTATACTTTGTTTACAGCTGGGATCAGAGGAACAGAATAAGACATATCCTGTCCAGCTCCGAGATCAATCCACAACTATTTATTTATCCATTCATTCATTCAATCCTACTTTTCTGCCACAAATTGGCTTGGAACACAGCGCACAGAAATGGAAAGACAATGGAAGCGACAGTTAAAATTCAGTTAGATATGTTCCTTGTAGAGGAATGTGCCTGACTGGTTCATGCCTTCCAAGGGCTTAATTGATTGCCTTGAAAGATAGCTTGATAAAATGTCTTGGGGTTTAGGTAGGCCGTACATATGCCCCAAGGAAGAAGGCAGCATAGCATAGCCCCACCTTGTCAGATCTCCGAAGGCAAGCAGGGTCAGTATTTGGATGGGAGACCACCAAGGAAGACTTTGCAGAGGAAGGCAAAGGCAAACCACCTCTGCTTCTCACTTGCCTTGAAAGCCCCTTGCTGGGGTTGCCATAAGTTGCTTGTGACGTGACAACGCTTACCTACATGCATATGGCCCAGTTAGGGATATGGTATGGGTGGCTGAATTCAGCTTCCTAAAAACCTGGACTTTCAGCTTTAAATAAAAGATCAAGTTTCTAGTCCTTATTGCTGTGAATGTATTCTTCAAAAGTTGTGACTGATCGCTACTGACATTTCAGAGACCGGAGAAGTGGCTGAATAAGACTTCCGGGGTTTGAGGTGGAGGTATTGCTCTTTACACTCCTCTTTGGCTAGCATATTTGACCTGCTCCATCTGTGACCTAGGCCAGCTTACCCCTCATTGGGCAACCTGGTAGGCCCCAGTCCCCCGCAGCTCACTGTATTGATGCTGAAGTTAGTACAGACAGACACCCAATCAGCATAGCTCACAGCATCCCAGAACTCCTGAGCACAGGTGATCTGCCAGCCTCCAGCTTCCCCAGCAACTGGAATGACAGGCTCCTGCCACCATGCCCAGCTACCCCCTTGACTAGCAAAACTGGAATAAAATGACAACGAATAGTTGCATAAATTATAATGCCCAAGAGGAAATTGTGCAAATGGGGCCAGGTGGTTCTTGGTGTCCTATGTGGACTCTTTTTCGCATGGAGTACATGTGCCCTGGGGCACAGGTATTTACACCTTGCAGTCAGCCTGGGGAGACTGCTGCCAGAGCTGCAGGCACTGAATTGGAGCCATTGCTGTTTCAGGAGCTGGATGCATCTGAGGAGGACGACGAAGAAAGGGAGAAAATGTCGAGTTTGCCGGATCCTGTGCAAGCATCCCTCATAAGCAATAGGGAAGAGGACTGTGCAGCATCCCCAGGTAAAGATTTCATGTATATTTGAGGCTCTGCCTAGCCTCTGGACAGCTGAAGATGGGATAACACATAGAATTTCTTGGCAAATGCTTCTTCAGGAGTGATACCTTGCATATCTAACAGCACCCTTCCTCACATAGAATCATAGAATGTTAGAGTTGGAAGGTACCTAGCTCAGGAAGGATGGCTCCAGAGCAAACTAATGTATGCAGGAGCCATATCACCTGCTCACAACTTTAATGCCAGGAGCTCACAAAGTAGAATTTTTGCTCACAAGACCCCGCAGCTTAGAGGGAACATAGCCTACAACATACCCGAAAGATGGTCGTCCAGCCTTCGCTTGAAAACGTCCAGCAAAGGAGCATCCACCACTTCCCGAGGCAGACTGTTCCACTCCTCAACCACTCTTACAGTTAGGAAGTTTCTCCTGATATTTAGCCGGTAACGACTCCCTTGTAATTTCCACCCATTAGAACTAGTCTTGCAATCCGGAGCAAGAGAGAAGAGATCTGTTCCATCTTCTACATGACAGCCCTTCAAATACTTGAAGACTGCAATCATGTCCCCTCTAAGCCTTCTCTTTCCCAGGCTAAACATACCCAACTCTTTCAGCCTTTCCTCATAACATATATTCGGCTGGCACCAAGTGTGCTAAGTTTCTGGTTCCAGCTAAAGAGATAGTTGTTTAAGTGCACTTGCTCTCTTTTATTTAGATTATGCCCCTATCAATTTTTAACATTCTCTGACTTGTTTCACATTTAGTCTGTTTTGATGTGGTTCACAAGAGAGACCAAATGGGCAAAAAGCTAGAGTTTAACCTGCTGCTCTTTTTTTCTTCTTGTGTCACTCAGTTTTAATTTGAAGTCTTGACCTCTCTGTCATTCTTTGAACCTATGCAGCTGCCTTATATTGACTCATACCAAGTGGTCTTTCAAGGTCAATATTGTCTACTCTGACTCACAGCAGATCTCCAGGGTCTCAAGGTCTTTTCCCATTACCAGATCCTTTTAACTGGAGATGCCAGGGATTGAACCTGGGACCATCTGCGTGCAAAGTGGGTGCTCTGCCTCTGAGCCACAGCCCTACCTTTCCATGTCCAGGACAACGTTTCCTGTGTTTTGTCAAATTAAGCCACAGGCTCCCCTCCTGGAGATGCCCTTCCATCAGCTCCTTTAAGTTTTACCTTTCTGATTCTTCTCCCACCTGAGACCCAGAGATTTTGGTTTCCCAGCCGGTCATGGAAACAAACCTGCCAGATTAGAATTGTTGTATGGTTAGAAGGACCACCATACCTGGTCACCTCTGATTTTAATTAATGAAAAATTGTTTGGCAGTGCAAGTGCTTTTGCTCCAGTCCTTCTGTGCTGGTTCAAGAATTTCATGTCTAGCAGGGGAATAGGAATGCTCCCCCCCCCCCCCCCCGGCGGGGCTTTTTTTCAAAATGCACAGGATCACCAAGATCTACAGGGATGCCCCAACCAGAAGGGGAAGAAGCTCCCTGGGGTCTCTATCTCCACTGCACAGAGGAAGCGGAGAGCCCGAGAACCAGCAATGGTCCAGATGAGGACAACAGCTGGGACTCCCAGGAAGTCTTTGTGAGCTCCCCTTGCTCAGTCTCCTCTTACCCAGGTCAGGAGCTCACCCAGCAACAAGTGCCAGAGGCCGCCTGCTGTCATCTCTGTTCCTCCCTTTTTAAATGTTCGGGGGGGACCAGAAGGGGATTTTCCACCACCACCCTGTAGACTTAAGAACATAAGAGAAAGCCATGTTGGATCAGGCCGATGGCCCATCCAGTCCAATGCTCTGTGTCACACAATGGCCAGAACCCACGAAACCCAGGCGCCATCAGGAGTTCCACCCACTGGGCTACCTTGAAAGTCAAGAAGGGCTCCTGTTTGTTTAAAAAACTATGTGACAGGTTCTCCTGTCCCTATGTTATACTCACAACAATCCAGTGAGGAAGGTTAGATTGAAGGCAAGTCACTGGTTCAAGGTCATCCAGGGACCCTCATGGTGAAGTGGAGACCTGAACTTGGGTCTTCTAACTTGACTCCCTAACCACTCTTACCACACTGGCTCATGAAAATGCTATTGTTGACACCAAATGCTTTTTTCAGAATTCAAAACCCCAAAGACTGGATGTGCCCATAGAATGGTCTGGCAACACCTGAGGTTGCAGTCTTTTGCTGAAGCTAAGCAGGTGTGGATCTGCTTGGTAGCCAGGTGAGAGACCGTGGGGAGCCACACTTCAGAACAGAATATCCATATAGCAAATATTTTAAGACCGTTCTAGAGAACACAAGCATTGGGGTGCAAAGTTTCATGCCCCAAAATCACAGTGTGGTGTTTCCCAACTTTCTTCCATTCCGGGAAACCAAATGTTGTTCTCTTGAAGCTCTGTGTTTTAGTGTGTTCTGTAAGGGGAAGCCTAGGCAGGATCAGATCCAAAGTGCCATGTTGTGGGTTGGGGTGCTGCATCACTGAAGCAAAACACCCTGGAATGCTGCATCACCCACGTGTGGATTTCTTTTCAGGGAGTGAGAACGAAGAGGAGAATCCAGGCGGTGTGGAGTCTCAGGTGCCTTTGTCAGGAGGCTGCGGAAGGAGTGTATTTTGGGAATTTAAGAAAGGGGAAGCCCATGAGAAGAAGGGGAAAAGTTATCTTGGAGAAAGATGGACTAGCCCAACTTCCTACATAGAAATCCTTGGAGGTGCTCAAGACTCTGCGGCCCACCAGGGACCCAGTCCCTATAACAAGGAGCACGGGAATATCCTTACGGCAAGGCCCTCCAACCTCATTACCCGGCAGAGACTTCATAGGAGCAAGAAGCTCCACCGGTGTGCCGAATGCGGGAGAGGCTTTGGTGTCTTTTCAAACCTCATCCGCCACCAGAGGACCCACATTGGGGGAAAACCCCACAAATGTCCCGATTGCGGGAAAGGGTTCGGACACAGCTCGGCCCTCGTCACTCACCGGCGTATCCACACGGGGGAAAAGCCGTACGCGTGCAACGAGTGTGGGAAAAGCTTCAACGTGGTGTCCAACCTCCTGCGGCACCAGAGGAGTCACACGGGAGAGAAGCCTTACCAATGCCCTGACTGTGGGCGCTGCTGCAGCCAAAGGTCTCACCTGATCACCCACCGGCGCCTCCACACCGGGGAGAGGCCTTACCAGTGCCTGGAGTGCAGGAAAAGCTTCAACGTTAGTTCTGACCTGATCAAGCATCGGAGAATCCACACGGGCGAGAGGCCCTACGAGTGCCGTTACTGCGGGAAGCGCTTCAGCGGCAGCTCCAACCTCATCACGCACCAGAGGCTCCACACTGGCGAGAAGCCCTACGTCTGCCCCGAGTGCGGCAAAAGCTTCACAATCAGCTCCAAGCTGATCACCCACCAGCGAATCCACGCGGCAGAGAAGCCGTTCGATTGCACAGACTGTGGGAAAAGTCGCACTGAAAGGCCCTGCCTCGCCAGGAACCAGCCGAGCCCCTACCGCCGGGAGAAACGCTTCAAATGCATTGACTGCGGGAAGAGCTTTACCACCAGCTCCTACCTCATCACCCACCAGCGGATCCACACGGGGGAGACCCCCTACATCTGTGGGGACTGTGGGAAAAGCTTCACAGTTATCTCCAACCTGGCCAGGCACCAGAGGATCCACACGGGCGAGAAGCCCTACAAGTGCCCAGACTGTGGCAGGAGCTACAACCAGCGGGCCCACCTGACGACACACCTGAGAGTCCACACAGGGGAGAAACCTTACGTCTGCTCCGACTGTGGGAAGAGTTTCAATGTCAACTCGTCCCTCACCAAGCACCGGAGAATCCACACTGGCGAGAAGCCCTACATGTGTCCCGACTGTGGGAAAACTTTCAGCCAGAGCTCCAACGTCATCACTCATCAGAAGCTCCACCACAGTGGTAGCCTCCTTGGCGGCCCCATCAGGGTCCTTCAGATCCAATAGTTCTTCACATTTCTATGGAGGGACTGTTGCCCGTCTGATAACCTGGCTGCCTTTCATGAACATAATGGGAGGTGTCTTCCTTTGCCTTGCTTCTGCTGCCCGCCTCCTGTTGCATTGTGGGAAGCGATTCCCCTCTTCCTTTGCGGTGGTTCGGATCACCTGCTGCCATTAACTGCTCAGGTTGGGGGAGGGGAAGATGCACTGAAAGCTTCCGCGTGACTTCCTATCAGAGCCTCCAAACTGGCTCGAACCCGTCACGTGGGGGTGGCCGCAGCCAGTTTGCTGAGTTCACAGCAGAGAATCCTTCTAGCTTGGAGGCGTGGATGTTCTGAATTCAAGGGAAGCAGCGTCCCCTCTAAGCTGTGCGTGTGAGCGGCCACTCATTAACCAGGAAGCCCCACTCAGCAGCAGACTGCCCACTTTAAGATTACAGCAGTTCCATTCTGCTCAGGGTGTGAACTGCTCCACTCAGTAGAAAAGAAAAATGAGAGGGAACATTGAAGGGAAGCCCTCCTGTCTGTTCAATATGTCCTGTTAACTACAAGGCAATTTCACTCAGGAGAGGAATCTCCTTTTGCTGAGGGAATGATGTGGGGGGGAACCTCCAGACCCACAGAGACTTTTTGGCTCGGGAGAAGTTCTTAAGCCTCCAGCAGAACCAAATAATTCTTCTGCTTTATGAAGAAGCACTTGCGCTTTTACCTTCTAGGAAAAAGAACCATGGCACTTCTTTCTTTTTCTTTGGGTTTTTTTTTTCTGTGCGTGTCTGCACATGGAAGTCACATTGACTTCTGGTGACTGACCCCTACTGGGGGTCTGGAGGATATTCAGAGAGGTGGCTGAAAAAAGCCTGCCTCTGTCCTCTCGACTTGGTATTCCAAGGAAGCCTCCCATCTAAGTACTAATTACAGTCAACCCTGCTTAGCTTCCAAGATCTGACAAGGGCAGGCTTGCCTGAGCTATCCAGCTTGGAGTGAACTGTGGCACTTTTAAACCGTTTTGAGCACTCCCCATTGTCCTTTCTGGGATTTAAGATAACAACACCTGGTCCCGAGCTATTCCTTTGGGTCGGGTGGTGGGGAGATCAGCCCCTTGGGTAAAAATGACTTCTAGAAGTTGACACTGTCCTCCAAAACAGGAGAGAGGAGAGATGTCTGAGGTCTGTGGCTGCGTGGTAGAGCATTTGCTTGGCATGCAGAAGGTCCTGGGTTCAAACCCTGGCATTTCCATCTAAAAGGATCAGGTAGTGTGTGACGTGAAAGACCTTTGCCTGAGAGCCTGGAGAGCCACCACCAATAAGAATAGGCAATCGTGATCTTGATAGACGCCAACAACCTGACACAGTATATACGGTAGCTTCATGGGGAATGTTGTGGTGGATTTCATGGTAGGCATGTTTGGTGCCTGTCATATGATAATAAAAGGATGATTTTGTTAGTCATGCTGTATTTTTTTTCTTTATTGGTTTAGCTGTGATGCACATGGGATTATTGCACTGTTTCCACCTGACTTGTTCATTCTGGAGTCTTTGAATCACTGTAGATTTTATGCAGTGATTGTATTTGCCATGGCTTCACCCGTGTTTCTTCTAGCAAAGAGTTGACCAAACATAAGGGGACATGCGCTGGGAATCTCTTCACAAAAGTTTGCTATCAAGGCGGACCCTGCCTTGCTGTGGTAACATAGCTAAGCTTTACCCAGGTTTGGTCTCAGGAGCTCTCCAAGTAACACACCATAAAGCAAAGGAAGGCTTTAGGGGAGAAATCCAAGAAAAGGTATAAGAACAAGGTGTATAGTTCAGTGGTAATGCAAAAATAACAAAAACTGACAAGCTACACTTACATACTGATGCCCTAACACCACACAGTTGATTCTTAAAGCAGAGTTCCAGAGCATAATACAAATATCATCTTGGCAGCAAAGGGGCTAGGAAAGAAAGGGTAAAAAAGGAATACGGAATGATTCTTCTCTCTAACCATACTTATAGAAAAATGCTGGCTGTAACCTCCTGACCTCCTCAGCCAATCACTGGACAGTATCCATGGAACTTTCCAGGGTGAGAGTGAGCTCCCCCTCCCATTTCAGCTGAACTGTGTGAGTTAATGAGCAGATGGGCTTGAGTAATGGGGGGGGGCTAACACCAGAGAATAGTGGAAATGGCTAGAAAATGCCACTAAGATGGCCAGGACTGGATTAAGGCCAACTGATTCACTAAGCACAGTGCCCCCTTGGCCCTCCCATTGCTTAACTGACAAGACATAAGACTCAATAAGTGCTGAAAGTGAAATAAAAGATTTAAAATTCAGTTTTCTTCCAGGCCAGACCCCTTAACTATATTAAATATAATTGTATAAAAATTATTTATTTAACACTAAATAGCAGTAAGCAATATAAGCACACACACACACACACAAAACCCTCATTGGTTCCCCCCCTTCCCTTGGTGCCCTAAACACATGCTTATTTTGCTTAATGGTTAAGTAAGGGCTTCTCTCTTGAAAGTTGCTATATAAAATGTGATGCTACTCTTTGATGACAATACTGATATTTGACTGAGCAGCAGTGTCAGGATTGCAAATTCTGCTCTGCAAAGCATTCAAAATTAATGCAGAGTAAATTCAAATCCTGTGGAGGAAGAAGAAGAGAGTTGGATTTATACCCTGTCCTTCACTCGGAGTCTCAGAGCATCTTACAATCTCCTTCCCTTCCTCTCCCCCCAACAGACACCCTGTGAGGTAGGTCGGGCTGAGAGAGCTCTCTCTCGAGAACTGCCCTTGAGAGAACAGCTCTGAAAGAACTTGTGACTAACCCAAGGTCACACCAGCAGTTGCATGTGGAGGAGTGGGGAATCAAACTCGGTTCTCCCAGATTAGAGTCTGCCGCTTTTAGCCAGTACACCAAATGTGTGGTGCACTGCCTTAAAACCTCCACTTCCACCCTTAGCTGTTTAAGCAATAAGCTTTATGCAAACATCCCTATTTTGCATAAACCACTATTGATTGCATTCTTCAATTGAAACAACTCCTTGGGGTGGCAGGGGACATTACATGGCACAGGGAGTGCATGGGTCAAAATATGTATCTGGAGAGCATGGAAGTTCTGTTTTGGCACACTGGGAAGTTAAAATGGCCCAGGAGCAAGCCAAACGGAACACACTCTGTAGTGTTACATGCCAGCGCTGCAGGGGCTGTTCAGCCCAATGGCACCAACAGTGTGCATTGGGCATACTGATCTCCTGCTCCCCAAAGCTGGTAGGGGTGCAGGAGGAGACAGTGGCTTAGCTGACACACCAGTCATTGCCACAAAAGTGTCCAAGCCGAGTGGCTGCCAAGGTGCTGGCAGAGCTGCTGGGGCTTGGCTCTGATTGTGCCTGGCAGCTAGCAAACCTCCAGGACAGTCGTCCACCAGGAGCTTTCCCTGTAAGTTAAATGGTCCACACCTTGCTGTGAAGCAAAGAAGATCAGTGTTGCATAAAGGTTAAAGAGTGTCAGATTAGTATCTGAAAGACCCAGGTTCAAATCACTCTGCCATGAAGCTTGCTGGGTGACCTTGGGCCTCCAACTAACCTGCCTCAGAGGATTGTTGTGGAGATAAAATGGAGAAAAGGAAGAACTGTGTATGTGGCCCTGAGCTCCTTGGAAGATAACAATGTACTAGAGAGATGTCCTATTTCCTGTCCTTGCGCACCTGACAGGGAAAGACATGAGCCCCCTGCCTGGCAAGGTTCCATATATCTGAAAACATTGTCTAAATATTTATGCATTCTTAAATATTTATATCCTGTTTTTCCAAAGAAAAGTTTCAAGCGTGGATCAAATGTAAATATCAGTAGCAAAGGCACAAGTCTAGGAACCACAGACGGCTGTAACTCTTTTTGAAACCCATATCACCACTGCTTTTATAAACTTCCATGTTACAACAATGACCGCCAGCATCTTTTGTTGCAGTGAATTCCATTGCTCATTATGTGTGGCTGTGCAAAGAAATACTCTCTTCAGTTTTCCCCGAATGTGCCACAAATCCGCTTAATCCAGTGATCCCAAGATAACAAGACATCATCATAATCAATCACTGAAACAAATCCCAAATGTGGGGTATTTGCTCAACACCAACGTCAGAGGACAGTGTGCCTTTTGACTTGGGGGGGGGGGGCAGCTTGGACACTATAGTTTTATCAAACTTTTCCTCAAAGGGAAAAAGTTGTTTGTAGCCCTGCTTCTCCAAAAACAAAATTCAAAACTACAAACACAATCCATTAAATGCCTTTATATTAAGATCAATTAAATGACACCCAACAGTGTGCATGCTTTTGCATTCTCCAGGAAAACTTCATCAGGCTGGATGTTACAAAAAGAAAATAGTAAGGGGGGGAGGGGGCAGATTCCTCAGGTCATGAACTTACATCCTGGCCAAGCCAGCATGGTGTGTTAAAAGGCCAAGCAGGCATGCAGTTTGACAATGGTGCTGGTGTAAACTTGTACCCTGCTTGTTTGGAGCAAGCAAGGGACCATTAATGGTTGCTCTCCATTGTAAAAACAAAGTTCAGCCATTGTCCCTACTGACTGTTTTAACATCAGGCGAGACTTATTGGCAGACTGCATTCCTTAAAGGAGTTCAGGGTGCCCCACTTCATCATCCTCACAACAACCCTGTGAGGTAGGCTGGATTAAGTAAAGAAAGACTGTCCCAAGGTTGCCCAATGAGTTTTATGGCTTAGAGGAGATTCAAACCTGGGTCTCTCCCATTATAATCCAGCATTTTAACAGATACACCACTCTAGCTTGTATGAGTATGTTCATAATAGCCTTTACATGCTTCTTTTCATGACCAGTGCTGTCTACCTTGTGTGAAAATTCTGCTTATGGAATTCACTTAAAAACCATAATAATAAAGGCAAATTCTAGAATCCTTACGGCTGTAAAAACACTTTATGGGAATAGGCTGCCCTTGTTTGCAAAGTCTTCAGTATTAATAAGGGAAAGAAAGAAAAGCCAGGGAGGGTGGAGTGGCTCAGTGGCTTAGCATGTAGAAGGCCCCTGGTTCAATCCCCATCATCTCCATTTTAAAGAATCCAGTAGGAAGTGATGTGAAAGACCTACTGGAAGAGTTGCCACCAATCTGCACAGACATTACTGACCTTGAGGAACCATTGGCCGTTCACTCTCTCTCAGCTTAACCTACCTCACTGGGTTCTTGTGAGAATAAAATGGAGGAAAGGAGAACAAAGGCCAAAAGGTGCTTTGGGGTCGGGGTCCCCAATGGGGAGAAAAGTGGGGTATAAATATTTAAAAACAGAAATGAAATAAGATCCCTTGGACTCACAAGCAACTAGATGCAAAGAGGGTGAGATCCTTACAAGTAAAAATGCTGAAACTGAAGCCCAGATTTTGGGGGTTCCCACCAGTAGTACACTTGGCTATGCTAGATGACAATACAGTCATCAGAAACAGAAGTGAGCAATGCTCCCTCTAAGCTGTAGAATCTTGTGAGCAAAAATTCTCCTTTTGTGAGCTACTGGCATTAAAGTTGGGAGCGGGTGATTTGGCTACTGCATAAATTAGTTTGCTCTGGAGCCATCCTTCCTGAGCTACGAGAAGAATCTGTGAGCTGGAGGCTAAAAACCTGTGAGCTCAGACTAACTCAGCTTAGAGGGAACACTGGAAGTGAGGTACTTAAAAAAATAACTATAAAGTTTTTCATTAGGGTTGTTTGAACATATGACGCTTCTTTATACCAAGTCATACCGTCGAGCTGTTTGACACATTCTCACTCACTGACTGCAAGATCTCAAACAAAGTTCCACCTCCGGAGATCATTTTAGTGGAGATGCAACTCGAGACGTTCTATGCGCAAAGCCGTAAGAACGAAAGCCTAGCTTAGAATGAGTGGAATTACGGCTTTGTAACAAAACCAACGAGGATTTGCCAAGAACCTTGTAGTTGCAGCTTCTTAACCCTTTTCTACAGGAAATTACGTAAAAGTAGCAAGGTAACTAACTTGCTAGATGTTAGATCCAGGTGGGTAGCCGTGTTGGTCTGAAGCAGCAGAACAAAGCTTTGAGTTCAGTGGCACCTTTAGGACCAACAAAGTTTTATTTATTTATAAAACTTTGGTCTTAAAGGTGCAACTGGACTCAAACTTTGTTTCGCAAGATGTTGCATGTCTTATTATGGAAGCGGCATCAAGCATGACACCCTCTGCTACCCCACTGAGCTCAAAACCATTGCTTGCCCTCCTCTGCGCCGCCGAAGATGGTCCATGGGTTAAATCAACAGAGCGGTTGATCCTAGATGGGTACGGGAAACGGCGAAGGAAACAGTCAGGCCACCTTCCTGTCTTGCCCTCCTCCCTTTCCCTCGCCCCTCTCTTCCGGCAGTAAATTACAGTGGGGAAGTATCAGCAACTTGCAGCCTCGACTAAGAAGGCTGCAAAGGGACAGGTCGGTGGATTCAGGGTCCTGGCGATTGTGCAAAATCCGGATAACCTGGCCGCGTCGAGGGCAGATCAGAAGCAGGAGACGGAGCCCTGGAAGAAGATCTCTCGCCTCCCAAGATCTGAGCCGGGGGTGTTCTCACCTGTGCAGATCATCCAAGCACCATCCTGTCATCGGGATTCCGCCCAGATCGCGGGCAGAGCCAAGTAGGAAGGCAGGGGAAAGGAGGGGAGTCATCTCAGATCGGGTATGTGGTCATTCTTTAGCACCCTGTCATATGAAGCTGCCTTAACACTGAGTCAAAACGCTGGACTTTCTCGTCCAGAATTATCTGCTCCCACTAACGAAGCTTTCCCCACCCAGATCTCTAGTAGAGACTGTCCCCAGCACTGCTGTCAGGGGTCCTTTAACTGGAACTGTCAGGGATGGAGCTTGCAGTCTCTTGCATGCAAAGGAAATGCTCTGCCACGCTGGAATGCAGGGCCTTTTTGCAATGTTCTGGCTGTGAGAGAGAGAGGTGAATGCAGGTATTCTGTGCTTCTTTAAGCTTCGTCTCTAGCAGGTAACCCTTAAGATGCCATAAATGCAATTAAGTACCCCACCCTCTCCAGGCTGCACTCCCAAATCTCCAGGAATTTTCCAAAGTGGAGCCGGTAACCCTAATAGAGTCTGAAGGCAGAATTTGACATGTGCAAGGCACATGGGTTGATTAAGAATTTTTTTAAAAAAGATGATAAAATGGGCTTTCCTGCTCACTAAAGACTCATCATTCAGTGAATGTGAGAGCAGAATAGTGTGTGTGCTTGGGGGGGGGGGGGGTTATCTGGAGTCGCTTAGCCCATGGGGAGCCCCAGAGCAGCTCTGCACAGTGCTAGGAACAAAATAGGGGTGTCACTGAAACAGGAAGGCTGGGTTGCATTTTCTAGTTACTGAAAGGAAGATGCCACAGCTCCAGCTCTCAGTCCTGAACTAGGAGGGAGGCATGTATTTTGAGAAATGCTGGAAAGAACGGCAACATTCCTGGTTCTAGAGAAAGGGAACGGCTACTCCCGGGCTTCTGTGCTCTCACTGGGTGTATCACAGACTCAAGTCATGAGTTCCCTTTTTAGTATTCATTCAGTCCCATAGCCTTGTCATTCTAACGTTCTTTCCTTACCAGGTCCAGGGTTGCTTTCCCCCCGTCCCCTGTCATTTCTGTTTTATTTGATACCACCTTCACCACCTTTTGTGCTATCCATAAACTGTTAACTTCATAAAGTATTTTGGAGATGGAAGGTAGCCAGCATATTACCTAGTCTACCTTCCTGCTCCAAGATGTGTGAAAAGAGCCAACAGCAGTAGAGCTTTCGTTAGTGGGACAGTGTGGGTTGTGATGGGTGGAGTGAGGGGCTTGGGTGGGGGAAGTTCTGGGTCCCCGGTGTGAGTCCCCAGTTTTGCCACGAAAATTATTAGTTGGCCTTGGACCAGTTATTCTCCCTCAGCCTAACCTACACAGTGGTTTTCGGGGAGTGGGGTTTTGCGTAATTTCATATAGGAATGTCACCCTGGGCTTCTCAGAGAAAAAGTGGGATATAAATATGAAGGACGAATGTTTCATGAACTCGCTCAGGCAAAGGGTTTTACCTGAGGCTAGCTTCCTCGTGTATTTATTTACTTCATTTCTAATCCACTTTTTCTCACTGAAACTCAAGGCAGGTTACACAATTTAAAAAAACCAATGCAATAAGAACGATATAATAAATACCAAATGGATTACAAAAGTTCAAGAACAGCAGGCTAAACACAGGCCAGCATGCTAAACAGTATAATGTGCAAGGAACAACGCATAGGAAATCTCATCCCTTTTCTTTCTGACAACATTCAGTAGCTGAAAAGTATACTGGCATGGCCTCCTTAAATGCCTCCCTCTAGGTTAAACATATTGCTTGCAGTGTTCCCTCTAAGCTGAGTTAGTGTGAGCTAGCTCACAGTTTTTTAGCCTACAGCTCACACATTTTTGTCTTAGCTCAGGAAGGATGGCCCCAGAGCAAACTAATTTATGCAGTACCCAAATCGCTCACTCACAACTTTAATGCCAGTAGCTCACAAAGTAAAATTTTTGCTCACAAGACTCCACAGCTTAGAGGGAACATTGGTTGCTTGCCCTGAATTTTTTAATTTCATCTTCGATGTCTTTATTGATTGCATTTTTCTCCCGTGCTTCCTCCACAGAACGCAAGGTATAGATCATATCATTTTTCACAACACCCCTGCATGGTAGGCCAGGCCCAGAGATGAGATTTTGCTCCAGGCCACCCAGTAAGCTTCCCAGTGAAGGTGAATCCTGGTCTCTGGAAGTCATCACAGCACAGTGGCCATTTCCCTGAGTGCCGTCTAGTTCAAGCATTCTGTCAAACAACAGACTTTTCACACAGTTCATCATACTACACTTAATAACATAAGAAGAGCCCTGCTGGATCAGACCACTGGTCCATCTTGTCCAGCATCCTGTCTCACACAGTGGCCAACCCATTGCCTTGGAGGGCCGAAAAGCAAGGCACAGAGGCCGAGACCTTCCCCTCATGTTGTCTGCTTTATACACAATCTGAGATTGATGCGGAAAATTTTCACAGCTCATCATGCAGAATCTGGATTTTTACAAAAACTCTACCAGCTGGGTAGAACAGAATTTCCAACGGTTTTGAACTTCAATGCTGGAACAGATACATGTTAAGTGAATATTGTCCCCTTTTTTTGTGGTGGCTAAAGCTAATCACAGAACTTCCCATCAGAGCGCAATACGTTTCACGTGAGCTGATAGTGCATTATTTCTGCACCTTTCCTAAGGATCCGATCACCACTGCGACAGTGGCTATATTGAGACTGTCAGGGAATGCGCTTCCACCGAGATCTTGGTTGGCAGCTGTTTTGGCATGGTCTTTGCACTTAGTAAAAGCTGAATTTCATTTGCAGTTCTGGGAGTGTGGAGAAGAATTTAAAAAATGGAGGACCAGGACCCAACAGGATCCAAAGCAAAAGAGAAACCGGAGGCAGATCGCCCCATCGTCCATGTTAGCACAGCTGGAGACGTTCCAACAGAAACGGGTCCCCAGGACACTGAACGGGCACCAGATGAGGTGGCTTCAATAGAGACCAAACAGACAACCCCCGGGGAGGCTCCTCGAAAAGCTCAACAGGTACTGGAGGAGGTGGTCCTGCCAGAGACTGATCAGGCTCTGGAGGAAAGGACCCAGCAGCAGGACTTCCAGAAGGCAGCCAAATCTCGGAGGAAACCTCTGGTGCCTACCCGGTGGGATAACACAAAAACATTTCAGACCTCCTTCCAGAGAACAGCTGACGCCGTCCACAGGGCTGAAGAAGACAGGGTGACTCGAACTCCGACAGATCTCAGCGGAGAAGCTACAGAAGCCTACAGCAGCTTGGGCCCCTCCCGGCAAACAAAGGATGAGCTCCTGGATGGAGAGGCCATCCGTCTGGAGCTACGGCGCCAGCAGTTCAGGCAGTTCTGCTACCTGGAGGCTGAGGGGCCCCGGGAGGTTTGCAGCCAGCTCCGGGACCTTTGCTACCGATGGCTGCAGCCAGAGAGACACACCAAAGAGCAGATCTTGGAGTTCCTGATCTTAGAGCAGTTCTTGGCCATTCTGCCGCAGGAAATGCAGCTCTGGGTCAGGAAATGGGACCCGGAGACCTGTGCCCAGGCCGTGACCCTGGTGGAGGTTTTTGCCTTGAAACTGCAAGAGAAGGAGAGATGGGACCAGCAGGTGAGTGTAGCTTATAGTGGCAATCCTGGCAAGCCCTGTAGCGAAATGCCCACAGCTGTGTGATTGTAGACCTGAGATCTATGAGTAGAGACCCACTGTTGGTATCATTCTTCCTCTTCTTAGAAGACTAACTAGACTGGGCTGGAAAACTGGTCCCATTTCCTTGCTGCCTGGCTTTAGTAGGGTTTTGAGCTGGGCCAGGGGGCTGCTCTTGGTTATGGGTGATGGTGGCAGAATTTGGCTTCACTCTTCTGGGGTGTTTTCTCTCTGAACCTTCTGGCCGTGTCCTAAACCGTGTCCCTGTTTTTTAATTCAGGTGCCAGGCCCACTGGAAAAGGTGGCAGCGAATTTCTCCAAAGCAAACCCCTTGAAAATGCAGCTGTACATGGTGGCCATGCAAGAGGGTGAAAGGATAGCCAGTTTGCTGGGTAAGGATGGACTTTGCCCTTGATTTGTGTTACAGAGTTCTCAGTGAGGAAGAATAAACCTCGTTGAGCCCCACGGGAAAGATGTTGGGGAGGTGGTGGGTGGTCACCCCTCTCAACATACTTTGAGGCTTTCAGAACAGCACAGTGAATTACAGCACCTGCCAGGGCCTACATCTATTTATTTCTTTAAAACATTTCTATCCTGCCTTATTTCCTTAAGGTGGATAATGAAGCAACAAGAAGGTACAAACCCATGAAAACAATATGGTAGTCAGTCAATGATGAAAACAGCTCACAACATACAAACACAGCTGGACTCTCCACCAAACAGAATTTGGAAAAAAACCAACCAATTCTGCAAGCCTTCTTGAATACAGACAGTGCCTTCTGCACCCACTCTGGGAAGCCATTCCAAGGGACCAGCCCTGCCACAGGAAAAGTCTGCAACCCCATTGTTGCCAGACAGACAGTCCTGAGACAGGGTGCCACAACAAGAACACTGTCCAAAGAACACCTGGGAGATGTGGTTTGAAAAGTCTGAGGGCCTTAGGCTATCAAAGGGCTTTAAAGGTAATAAGCAGCACTTTGAATTGGGCCCAGAAGTGTCTTCAGCACTTCAGCCTGTCATACATTGGGCCAGTTGTTTAGAATGGACTTGTGGTTGTTGTGGATATCAGGTTCAAGGGTGATCTTTAATTTGGGGACAGGGCTTTTGATAACCCTGTATGGTTGGACCTCTAGTAAGAATGATGGTGTGCATTGTAGGGAGAAGAACACAGTGAGAGATGATTGGCCAACTCAGTTAACAATCCCCTTTCTTTTACTTCTTCCCCACAAACACCCAACATCATTTCTGAAGAGTATATTGAAATGAAGAAGGCAAATTGCTCATCAAAGCCTTTCTCCAGTTTTTTGTAGCAAGGAGTAAAATCCAGGTGTCAAGGTATTTCCTGAAGGCTTTCTGGATGCTCATTTTATGCAGTCCTGTTGTCTTACAAATACTTTTTAAAATGTTCTAAGACCCAAAACTTCTTTCAGTATTCTTATTCATCACATTTCTATCACACCCATGAGCTCAGGGTGGTGTACATGGTTGGGGCAGTCCTGTTTTTGAAAATATTACTTTTATTATCATTTGTAGTAGTTGTCTATATTGATATACAATAGAGTTCCAAACAACTTGATGCCAGAGTGTATTAAATCAAGTATTCATCTTCACAAATTGACAGAGATTCACATGGGGGGAAAAAATTGATATCCAACACACTCGATATACTCTGTAGCTTACAAAACATTAAATTAATCTTGTGGTACTTAACTGTATTTCGTGTATGTTATAATCAATGTTCCCTCTAAGCTATGGAGTCTTATGAGCAAATATTCTACTTTGTGAGCTACTGGCATTAAAGTTGTGAGCAAGCAATTCGGCTGCTGCATAAATTAGTTTGCTCTGGGGCCCTCCTTCCTGAGCGAAGAGAAAAATCTGCGAGCCGGAGGCTAAAAAACTGTGAGCTAGCTCACACTAACTCAGCTTAGAGGGAACACTGGTTATAATAATTAATAGCAGGAGGGAAGACAGCATAGTATAGCTCAATCTCATCAGATCTAGGAAGCTAAGCAGGGTTGGTATTTGGAAGGGAGAATACCTTGGCTCACAACCTGTAGTCTTGAGTGAGCTGGTCCAGTTGGACTCCAGGCCAGCCCTTGCATTGTACTGAATTTTAATATTGTTGCTGGTTATTTGCTTGTTTCATTATATTTGTGGTGTTTTCTTGTAAGATGCTTTGGGCCCTGCTAGGGAGAAAAGTAGAATGTAAATACTTAAATCAGTGAATCCATTCTTCCAGCAGGTGATGTCCACATGAGTGAGAACAAAGAAGCGAATCTTCAGCCAGAAGGACCAGAGCAAGTGGATCCCAACCAGGTGTCGCTGGAAAAGGGCAAAGCAAAAGTCTTCCTGTTTCCCAAGATGGAAGGAGTGCCTGAAAGTCAGCAAGCAGTGAAAGACTGTGAGATTACTGGAATGGAAGAGACGTCTGGAAATCAGTGGCAACAGGGAAACCACCCAGAACAGGCAGTGGAAAAAAACTATCTTTCTGAAAGGGAGAAAAGTTTAAGTGAAAGCACTTTGCAAGAGGGACTTGACCTAGATAGGAGAAAAAGGACAGGAATGGAGAGTGGGAAAAGCTCCAATCAGAGTGCTGACCCTCTTAAAAACTTGAATGTCCAGACTGGGAAAAGGCCATACAAGTGCTCCTATTGTGGGAAAATCTTCAACCATGCCTCAGCCCACTTGGTCCATGAGAGGATCCACACGGGAGAGAAACCATATAACTGCCTGGAGTGTGGGCAGAACTTCAGTCGCAGATCACACCTTACCAGACACCACAGAATCCACACAGGGGAGAAACCGCATACCTGCTCCAAGTGCGGGAAGAACTTCAGTCGGAGATCACACCTTATTGAGCATGAGAGGACCCATACAGGAGAGAAACCATTTGCATGCTCCACCTGTGGGAAAAGTTTCAATTACCGGTCCCTCCTCAAAGAACACTCAAGGATCCACACAGGAGAGAAGCCATACAAATGCTCAGACTGTGGAAAGAGCTTCAATCGAAGAGAGAGCTTTATCATCCATGAGCGGACTCACACAGGGGAGAAGCCATATGAGTGCCTAGACTGTGGGAAAAGATTCAGTCAGCGATCAAACATTACTACCCATGAGAAAACTCACATGGGAGAGGGAAAATATAAATGTGCAGAGTGCGGGAAAAGCTTCTGCAATTCCACTAGCCTCCTTAGACACCAGAAAATCCATGCAGAGGAAAAGCCATGTTAAAACATTCAAATGCGCAGGAACAAGGACACAAGGTGGTCTTTGCAGTACTGGGACACTTCAAATGGCAGGTGACAGGTCACATGACTGAGGGCACTCCATGATAACAAGTAAAACAACCTTGCATGTTGAAAGCTAGCATTTCAGGGAAATAAGTTTTAGCCTAGCCACTTCCTTCATGGGCAGAGGAGCATCCCAGGCCTATACCGTGATCTTCCTGCCCATTTGAATCCAAATTTACTAAAAGGGAAAGCTCTGTAAGTAGCCTGAGGTTAGACTGTAAGAAGGAAAACATAGTAGTGAAACTATTCACAATGGACTGGTAAGGAAAATGTCAGTGTATAAAACAACAACCTCCAAGCTGTAGAAACATCTTGATCCAGTTCCACTGACCTTGTGCCCCCATGTTGTTACAATGTCAGCTATGGAAGACAAAGATCAGCACTCATAAGCCATGCTGTAGTGCGAGAACTGAGGCAGATCTCTGATGCTGTTGTCTTTGATGGGACCAGACCCTTCCATGCTAACTCCCATCATACTGACCACCAGAAAACCTGGTTCAGGTGCTGAATATGGCGTGAACTGTCCTGGTGTTTTCTGCCTGCCCAATTATGCACTAGTAAAATAGCAAGGAAATGTCCCTGAGCTATTGAGAAACTTTATTTTATGTCTACATATGCAATTGCCAATAGGTTATGTGATGTCAGTGGCTGTCTTGGTGGCATTCTTCTTTTATATATTGCATTTCTTTGCATCCCCACATGCTGGGTTTGGGGATGGGCACATCCTTGTGTCTCCGTTTGTGAGTGGGTGGTTGAGAAGTGTGCAGCTGCCTGCACATGATGGCATGCCATACCTTTCCTTCAAGCCCAGTCCGTCAACCTTTCCATCCCTAACCTTGTTTTATATACCTTTGTCAAGCTATTACAAATGCAGTTCTCCAAAGTGAAAGGAGAAAAATACACTGCAGCTGCAAGGACACATGGAAATGTCCCATAGTATTGGCTGGTGTATTTTCACTGCACCCAAGACTGTCTTCCAAACTAGTCTTTTACTCCTCTGTGATCCCCTCAAGTATCCACTATAAAACACAGCTCGATAAATTCATTGTAGCAAGGAGAGTGTCACATTCTAACAGGTGATTCCAGAGGAGTAGATGACCGAATGGTCATCGTAAGTAATCAGTGGAAGGTGACGGATAACATAGGGAGAGTGCAGGGAGAATAGAAACCCGAATGGTCATCGTAAGTAATCAGTGGATGGTGATGGATAACATAGGGAGTGTGCAGGGAGAATAGAAACACATGGCATCCTGCCTTTTTCTCCTTCCCTTTCACTTAAATTTCCTCTCATATTCTAGTATGTTCTGGCCAAACAAATTCTCCAAACAAAAATATCTTTGTACTGAACTGGATTCCCTGGAAAGTGCTAGTTTTCTATGATGCCAGAAGCAGCATGGGAGAACGTTCTGTAGTCCTCTGAATGGGAGCTATTCTTGAAAGGTAAATTGCATGTTTAGGAAGTGAAGTTAATTGCTTTGCATTGTTGCAAGTAGTATTTTATCTGCCAACATAGCTCTGCCTGGGTCATAATAGTGAGACAAAATGCATCCATGTATTTAAGAGCAATCTGTCACATGTTTATCCCCCCCTTCCTCCAAGGAGTTCTGGGTAGCATACATGATTCACATTTCCTACATGACATTGATTCAGATTCATTGAGCTCCATGGCCAAGTGGAGATCAGAGTTCAGGTCTTCCCAGTCACTGCCTCTTAAGACAGATTTCTTAGACAAAAGTGTATGTATGTGCCTAGGGCTGGGGAAAAAGTTTCATATACCAGAATCAAATTTTCAAGAGCCAGCAGAAGCTTGTTGGACACTGGCTGGGTGGTGGAGCATTTGCTTGGAGTACAGAAGGCCCAAAGTTCAGTCCCCTGGCATTGCCAATTAAAAAGATCCGGTAGTAGATGCTGTGAAAAAGACCTTGGCTTAAGACCCCGAAGAGCTGCTGCCAATCTGAATAGACAATATTGATCTTGATTCAGTATAAGGCAGCTTCATGTATTCAAATACGCTCGTGGTGACTCAGTTCCACTCTCCAATCCACTATCCCTGGGTAGTGTGTTTTTAAAAATAACATTCCTCTTAATCATCAGTATGAGACTTCTAGGTTGCACTCTTTTATACAGTTACTTGGGTGGAGGCCTTGTGCTACTCACGGGGACTTAGACCTGGTTCATGTGTGCAAGAGAATGAGAGGGCAGCAGAGATCAGAGCAAAGGGAAAGATTCTGCCCCCTGTCTTTGCTTGTTTTGCCAGTTTCCTGTTTGCCAGGGAGTTGTCAGCATAGGGAAACATCCCCAAATGTGATATTTCACCTGCGGTGTGAAGTGGTACTGTCCATTCTACCAACTCGACATTCTACTACTTGAGAGTACACAGAAAGCTGCCTTATACGGAGTCAGCCCATTGGTCCAGCAAAGTCAGTCTTGCCTCCCCTGACTAGCAGCATTTCCCTGTGAATCTCAGGTGGAGGTCTTTCCCATCCCCTACTGCCTGAGCCTTTTAAGAAGCATGTTGGGGAATGAGCCCTGGAACTGTCTCCATATAAAACAGGTGCTCTGCCACTGAATCACACTCCAACCTCACCCTTTTGCATGTGTGAACCAGGCCTTACTCCTGACATCACATGCATAGAATTGGGCTACATGATAGAATGCCAGACATGAGTGGTTTCTACAGGCTTCTACTTGCTGTCAATTGCAGTTCACTATAAGAAATCTGTAGGAGATCTGGGGGCAAAAGGGGGCCTTCGCTGTCCACTCAGATTTGTACTCTCTGTGACCGCCCTTCATTTAAAAGAACAGCTTCCAGCACTGTAAACACCATCTGTGGCTGTCACATCTGGGTATGAAGGTAGAATGCAGTGGTACAACACTAAGGAAGGGAGAGTGAAAGGCACCATTCCAGATTGGAAGTTTGAATGCTCTAAAAAAACACCTCTCTGCAAAGAGAAAAACAACAGGCTGGGCAAATCGTTGGAATATTACTTTTTGCTCTGATGTGCTAGTTTCCCATTCTGCAGAGAGGTTTTTGAGTGTGTTCTTAAGGCTGCTTCCACCCAGAGGTTTTTCTCTGCCTTCACTTCTTATCTGGAGCCCTTGGAGGGGAGGGAGCATCGGGGTGACCTCATGCTCCAATTGTCCTTTCTAGATTTTAACCACCCTCTGTATGCTTTTTCCCAAAGCTGCTTTAAATCAATCTGTTTGGAATGGCTTCAAGTACATCAGCACATCATGTGGAACAAATAGTACAGGGTTTCCTCCTACAAAGGACCCATCCACATCGGCTCTTGTTTTCCTCCCATGGGCCTCTTGCAGATGCCATTTTCCCAGTATTATTTTCCTGCTGTTCATTCTTACAAGCCTTGCTTTTCTCTACATTAAGGCCCCCAAATAGTTTACAATTTCCTTCTCCTTTCCTGCATTTTATCCTCACAACAGCAGGCCCTTGAGGTCGGTTAGACTGAGAGAATGAGTGTTCGGCCCAAGGTCACCCAGCCAGGTTCTAGAGCATGAGTGGAGATTCGAACCTGCATCTCCCACACAGAGTTCCCAAAAGCGGGGTGGGGGGTGGGGGGCGGATAATGTAAAAATTAAAATCACTGCAACATCCTCATCCTTTCCTGGCAGCCAAGAAGTCCTTCTTCCAGCAGAGGGCGCTGCTTGTTTCTGGCTGCCTAGAGGATTTTGCTTTTCCCGACTACCAGAACGGATGCTCTTCCTGGGTTGTCCAAAGGCTGCCAACTGGTGCGCTTTCTAACCCAAGCACGAAGTAAGTCCCAAGCACGAAGTAAGGATTATTTCCACACTGTATGTTGGGCGAAAGATTCTGAGGAGTGGACCCTAGCGGGAACTGCCCCTCCTTGTATTGAACAAGCCTTTACATACGTAAATAAATGCTTTCAGGAGATATGCCAGAACGAAGGAGGCATTCACTGACAAAAGTAGACTGGAAAAATTGAGGGTGATGAGACCCATCAGATGCGCGAGAAAAAGAAGCGTTGGTTTCTTTAAACTGAAAGAAAGTGAGCGGTGAGGCTTTTTCGTGGGAGGGCATTTGGTGCGTGCGGGGAGGCTGACTGATCCATCGGGATGAGA